CAAGTGTTTCCTTATTTTGCACTTTTAGAATAAGGAATGTTTTATCTATTGCTATGTGAGACACAGCAAATTTTATGCTTGTTTGAAAAACACTGCTTCAATTCAGCCTTAAGAGCTTTACATATTCCATCACAACCCCAAACTGGGAACAGCACGTATGAAATACAATTATTGGTAATAACTGAAAATATTTTATGTTAAAGTAAATCCAACAACATATATCAACGGAGTAATGACTTAAAAAAATACTAGTATCAGAAATGCAGACCATTGGGGGAAGCATACTCTTGTCTTTACAAGATGTCAGAACATCAGTGCAACAGCAATACAAATGTACACGTTCTCTTTATCATTACTTTTGCAGCAGATATACATATTAGATCTATTTATTTAAAATATGTATATAATTACCCAGAGTTGAAAGATGAGAGGCTATATAAATGTTTTGAATGAATGAATGAGGCTCAGTTTATCACCTCAGATGTGTTTTCCTTTGTATCCAGACAATACAGCCTAACTCTGACATTCTGACAGTTCACTTGAAATTCTCCTTGGTGGACCTCACATGCTCTGCTTAAGCTAAGACAAAAGCATTATAGAACTACTGTATTACCACCTTCTAAAAGCCTTCACTTGTTTTTCTAGACCAGGGAAGAAAGCGCTATGTGCCTAGCCCTTTTACCAATCATCAGGACAAAACATGTCCTAACAATAGCTGATAACATAATCTCTTCCATGATATTTGCTCAATTTACCACCAGTGAAACATTAACCAAATGTTTATATTTCTTTATCTTAGAAACCAGTTCCTTTGTTTTACTTTTTTGAAACTTTCCCGACTCGGCCTGTTGGTTTGTCCAGATTTCCTGTATTACAACTTGTAATAAAACTAAAATGCAACATTTAAGAACAAGTCACATTCCCTTATATTTTCCCCCTGCATGAGTTGGAAGAGGTTAGCCTTTTGTTTGGTGACACAAAGCATTTTGCAATGGGTTCATTAAGTGCCAAGCTCAGCGACTTACCCTTTATTGACTAATACATCCTATCTCTGTTACCGGTACTATAATTGCATCTGAGGATTTACATTTAAATATCATAATTCCTCAATTTCTATTAATTCATTAATGAACAAGAGATAAATATTATCAAGTGAGCAGTCTAATATAATTTTCAGTTCCCAACATTTATGGTTATCAGAAAAGAATGACTGCTCCTGAGAGTTTTCAATTTAATGGAAGAAACCTACCTAAATATAAAACCAAATAACTGGCTTGCATTTGAAATACAAAGGTTTTTAAAATATTTCTTAATTATCCAGAATTTTATCCCAATCGTAGGGATAGTAGAAGATTTCACGATCACTCTTTAATACCTGCTGTCAAGGTTTTATTTACTTATATCAGCAACAATGTAATATGCTATTGATCTAAAAAGATGTATTTTTGTGTAGTATTTCTAATTTATGCGCGCACGATTGAATAGTGCAAATCCCTCACCTGAGAGGAAACATCATAAAAAATAATGAGTCCTCCCATGCAAAGAACTACATTGTAAGGCACAATAATTGTTCAAAGATTTTTAGATCCATGATCTTCTGATTCTCTATAATACTTGTAGATATTTACCCATGGCCAGTCCCACCATGCTGATCAAGGTCACAGCCTTATCTCAGGTTAGTTTGTTTAGTAATTTCAATAAATTAATAAATGGAAAAACAGATATGGTTTATAGTTATGCTCTATCTTCTAGTTTATTTTTAATTCCCAAGGATATTTCTAAGCCCCAATGCATTCTCTCTTTATTCTTCAATGCCTTTTCTTGCGTGAGAGGATTTATTTTGTTTGTTTCCATTTCTATGCCAAATCTACACTTGAGGATTCCCTAACTCTAGGCTAAAGATGTGAATATGAATGGAAGGAGAAACCTTTTCCATTGACAAATGACTTTATTGGATAGGCTGATTGAAAGAAGGTACATGAATACAATTCAAACACATTACTATGGATCAGTGGACATGAAACATTGACTGTTAGAAGCACATTAGAAAACTGAGGGGGGTACTGGGAAATAGATGGGAAAATATCCGAGTATCTGAGTCTTGGACAGTAAACCAAACACTAAAATCTGATATACAATTTGTAATTGGATCTTACTAGACTCTCTGATTTAACGGTAAATAATACAATTCTACTCCTGAAATCAAACACAGGATAATCTTAGGCCGCATTGCAATGGTTAACATGAATAAGATCTGGTAAAGCAGGGATATTGATTTAAATACAAAAAGCTAGTTATAGTCTTCCCTATAATGATATATGTGGGTGTGAGAGTTGGACACTATGAATGGCTGATCGAAGAATTGACGTCTTTGAACTGTGGTGCCGTGTAAATTACTGTGAATACCACGGACAGCCACAGTAACTAACGGAAAGGTGCTAAATCACACCTCATTGGAAGATAAAATCATAAGACTATGTCTGATTTACTTTGGCCATGTTATGCTTGCAAATTCATTGGAGAAGGCAAGGAATGACTAGGAATGGACAAAGAAGAAGGGGCAAACAAAGAACATGATGGCTTGATAACATCAAATATGATGCAAAGTCGAACATACAACAATTGAAAAAAGCTGTGCTTGATAGGGTAGCATAGAGAGCACTTGCTATAAAGTCACCGAGTGGGACATGACTAAAAACAACAAACAATGTTAAAAACATAATAGAAGCACTTGAATGTTATTTTCTGACTTTTTAAGTGTAACAACCCTAAGATTATAATGTACTCTGAATTTTATTAGCTTATTTTAACAGTGAAATCCAGACTAACTTAGAAGATAGCACCTATGAACGCTGTGAGAAATACTTCTCAAAAAAAGATGAGAGTTGCAAAAGGAGGTGGTAGCCAGTTTTTCTGAAAACTGCACCTATCTGTCTGGCTTTTTCACCACTGGCTTTTTTTTAAAGTTCAAACCTTGGGCGTTGTTCAATATTCCTGGTCATTCTCTTGGCCAGCTAAGAGTACACACTCATCCAGTTAGTTTACTTTTCTTCATCAGGGAGAAGGGCGGTATAGAAATCCAATATAAAATAAAATAAAATAAATATACACTAGACACAATCTCTCTCAGCATATATTCTTTTTTTCACTTAAGTCCATCCACTGATTAATATTCGCCATATCAATATTTCAGCGTGTATCATCAAACTATACCTGAAGCTTCCCTAGAAACTCACAGAGGGAGAAACCGGCATAAGCAATAATTCATTCATCCAAAAGTACTCTTTGACTGAGAAAAACCTAGATATGCAAAAAAATGAAAAGTTGAAGGCTGTAATAAATTTTTTTTCCCTAAGTGTTCTGAAACATAGCATTCTGAAAGTTACTTTTTCCCCAACTAAAGTAATATTTTAGGTTCCCACAATATCTCCATGCAATAGTAACAGGTAAGAGACCTTTTCAACCTCTTCCCAGTCACTGCATCCAATAAATAAATATAATAAAACTACTGTAACATTAACCAATCCCTATGGACACAGAATGAAGAGGGTAGAAGAAAAATTGATTTGTTAACTTTCCCTCTGCGCAAATGTGCTTTCAAGAAAAAATGCTACTCTGCATTACAGCATGTATAATTGGCAAATACATCATTCTAGGCACAGGAAGCTAAATATAAAGAAGAGGCAATGGAGACGATGATGGGAAAGATATTTGTACCATTTTATGTACCATTTAATCAAAAGAAGGCCCACAATGTCTAAGCAAGGTTTCAGGAGTCCTATTTGACCTGCAAACTAAAAGAAATAAAACACACTCTCAGCCATAAAAGTCAAATAACCCCCCAGTTTCTGTTTCTTTATTCACTAGAATAAAGAACAGAATAAATATACCTTAAGAGGGGATTACAGACAAATATGGAAAAATTGGAAGATTGGAATAGATTAAAAAGTTATATATATATACATACATACATATACACACACACACACACACACACAAAATGTATAAAATGTGACCCGGTCAACACTGTTCATAAAATATGTATGATGAAAGAAAAATTTTAATAAAACTTGTGTTTTTTTTTTTTTTATAAAAAAGAGGGGATTACTCCTTTACACGTTTAAAGTGAAAAATGAAAGGATGGGGGTTTTTTTCCCCCTGTTTTAAATAAGACGATAAAATAAAACAAGTTAGGGAGGTATTTATTTAGGCAAATAACTCCCCCTCCCCCCCAAAATATGCAAGAATTCCCACTTTATAGAATAATGAAACGGCGGGAAGGAAGGGCGACATCCCCTCCTAAGCAAAAGACTGTGCAGGCAAACATGGAAGGATTGTTTCCTTGGTTTCAAATACACCTTTTCAACCGACAAAAGCCAGAGAATAGGCGAGTCTCCGTCGGCTACGCCTCCTGCCTGCGTTTACTACCGACCCCATCTCTCTCTGCACCTGCTCCTAAGAAGGGAGGGGAAGGAGAAGCCCCTTAGGGGTCCAAACAAGGATGCCGCTGCCCGCCGTTCCCCTTTTTTGCCCCACTCTCTCTCAGCGCTTTCTCCCCTCACTGATTAAAAAGCCCCATCACTCGAGGAAGGGAAAAGGCCGCAGGGCCAGAAAGGAAGAGCGAAAAGGGTTACCTTGGCGCCCAGAGCCGGAAGAGCCGCGCCGCAGAAACCTCCCCCCCCCCCCCCCTCCCCGCGCACTGACAGCTCCCAGCATGCCAAGCGGCTGGCTTCCTTCCTTCCTCCTCCCTCCCTCCCTCCTTCTGGCCTTCGCCTGACGTTATGACGCCACCTGGCGCCGCTCGGAATTAGCGCAGCTTCTTCTCGCAGAGCCGGCGCCGGTTCCAGGTTTGCCATAGCGCAGGGATGGGCAACTGTGGCCCTTTTACAACCTGTGGACTTCAACTCCCAGAATTCCTGAGACAGCTTGGCTGTCTCAGGAATTCTGGGAGTTGAAGTCCACAGGTTGTAAAAGGGCCACAGTTGCCCACCCCTGCCTTAAAGGGAAAGTCTTCTTCGAGAAGAGGAGGGGGATCCGGGTGGGTCTTCGTGACCGCGGTGCAAAAGCCGACTTGCATTTTCTGTTATTTTTTTTCCTCCCCCCCCCCAACATGGACTTTCCCAGCGAATCCTAAAAGCTGAGCTTTTATAATAAACCCGCCTGGTTTATTGTTTTCATGCCAGCGGGAAGAAGAAATGCTTTGGCTAGCCCAGTTCTTTGATCCGCCTGGAGCGCGCGTGGAGGAGTCGCTTTGTCCCCCATTGCACGACTGTGTGTGTGTGTATTTTGCTCAACTTTACGGGCGGGATTTAAGATTATGTGGCACGGTATCCCTGCGGAGTACCGGATTCTGCATGCTTTCTTCGTTTGGGAAGCCGACAGGCAAAATCACGAAACCGGTTGATTATTGAGCTTCATTCATTCCTTTCTCCTTGATTTCTCCTGCCGCCCTTTTCTGAAGGTGGGGTGGGGGGGTGTACATCAGTAGCACAGTAAACAGGCACATTAAATAAGCGTTGCTTGAATGGAATCCAACCTGCAAAGCGTCTGACTCTCTAGCTAGCCAAACCACGGGAAGCTGCAGTTTGCAATCGGCTGCACGTTTATTGCAATGCAATTGGATGCAAGGCACTGGGTAATTCCGAACGCTACTATAACTGCAGCGAAACTGACTTCTGAGTAAATAGTAGATAGTAGAATCGGACTACAAGGCGCCCTCATCTCCCCGCTTATTTTACCATGCGACAGAAAGCGAACAAAGACATCCATCAATCAGTTCAAGCGGACTAAAAACCAAAGCGCGATCCCGGCAGGGGATACAATTCGTACAAATAATGTTTAATGTGCAACCTTCTTTCGTAATCTAATCTCCTTTAAGATGATGTCACATTGCGGCCGAGGACATCTTTGCCACCGTTAAAAAGATAGCGCTAAAGAGCCTTTTTTTTTTTTTTTTTGGACTGAGCCCTGAGCCTGATTTCTCTCGCAGAGGGCGCTGTGCGAGACAGAGGTCCTCCTCTCAGCTAAAACGTTTCCGGGATTCAATTTTCCTAGTTTTCTCCGGCCCACGTGGGAGAGTATTTTGCAGACTTTTGAACCTGGCAGCGGGTTGCTTTCTCTCGGCTTGGTCCTCTTTTGGAGTCGGTGGCTACCTGGATGGATGCTGCTCTGTTCTTGGAGATTAGGGAGAAGATGAAGAGCGGATTGCTGATTATTCGGTACTTTATTTGTTTGCTTTATGTTTGATTCATTTCCCACTCTGCTTCATTTCCCACTTTGAGGTAGGCATTGCCGCGTTCTGTTGCGTTCCATCTATTTTCCATGGAGAAAAACGCTTCTTCTCTTACAGGCCTGTCTTTAGCTTCCCATTTGCCATCCAGGACAGTGGTGATTACTTTTAGTAAAACTTCTACAATATCACTCACTTCCCATACCATCATACTTTAGTAAATGTCTGTGTTACCAGACAATAAAGGCACCCTAGAGGACATGCCAACCTAGCAGTTTGAAAGCACGTTAAAAAATGCAAGTAGAAAAATAGGAACCACCTTTGGTGGGAAGGTAACAGCGTTCCTTGCGCCTTTGGCATTTAGTTATGCCAGCCATATGACCATGAAGACCTCTTCAGACAGCGCTGGCTCTTCAGCTTTGAAACGGAGATAAGCACCGCCCCCTAGAGTCGGGAACGACTAACATATATATGCGAGGGCAACCTTTACCTTTACCTAGACTCTAGGTCCTAGAGGATATGCAATATAGATTGGAAGTCTAATTGTGTGCCATGAAAGAAAATGTTTTCCAAACATCTTCACAATGCAGGCAACTTATTTCTGTAAAGTTTAATTTATGAAATAATAGTCTTGGATTCAAGTTTATTTGAGGAAAAAAAATGTATATCTTTTTATTTGAAAGATTTCCCTAAACTGCAGATGCAGGCCCTTTAAATGAGAAGCTCAGAACTGAATTGACCGTCAAGTATCCTATCAATTCTTCTTTTGAGGTGTACCTTGCTAGTTTATCATCCTCCCTTTGCTCTTCTTTTAAATTGCCTTTATATAGATAAGCACAAACAGTGTATGCACATCTCGTGTGTAGCGTACATCCACTCTGTTTCTTTCAAATTAAAGCAGCTGAGTTCTCAGAACAAACTCCAGAAAGTGTTGCCCTCTATTAAAGCATATTTATCACTTAAGCCTGTGTGGTGCTATTCTGTTTATTTTTACCTCGCCTTTATTATTTTTATAAATGACTCAAGGCAGCAAACATACATAATATCCTTTGCCCTCCTGTTTTCCTCATAACAGCCCTGTGAGGTGGATTGGGCTGAGAGAGAGTAATTGGCCCAAGGTCACCCTGCTGGCTTTCATGCTAAAGCAGTACTAGAACTCACAGTTGCCTAGTTTCTAGCCTGGTATCTTAATCACTGGACTGAACTTATGCTTACCTAGCACTACTGTAACCAAATTTAACTCCTTGAACTGTTTGAATGGAAATCACTGCATGTTGGCAAAATCAAGAATGGATTTTGTACATTGTGGCCTGCAGTATCTCAAGACTAGACTCTGTGTGAAAGATACATACCACCGAAAGGAAAGGGTTTATGATGCCTGGATAAATGGAAGCTGTCATAAAATAGTAACCCCAAGCACTGGATCTTCTCAGCTGAATTCTTGAGGGAGCAAGTGTAAAATAGGGAGGGCTGATGTTCCCAGAGGATCTTCATCAATTAGAAGAGAGGAGGTTGTAGTACAAGAATATGTCAGAGTGCAGTTATGCATCTTTATCCTTATGTCTCTTCTAGCCTTTAAAGCAGGGGTGAAATGCTCCCGGTTTGGACCGGATCGCCCGATCCGGTAGTGATGGAGGCGGATGGTTCGGAGAACCGGTAGCAAAAATCCCTCCCCCCCCCATTGCCCAGCTGAGCCGCGCAATCATCAGAGGCTTTTTTTTTATTTTTAAAAGCAATTTTTCTACAACCTCTCTGGCCGAAAAAAAATGCTTTTAAAAGTAAAAAAAAAAGCCTCTGATGACCGCGCGGCTCAGCTGGAATCATCAGAAGCTTTTAAAAGCATTTTTTTCTACAACCTCTTCAGCCCAAGAGGTTTTAAAAGTTAAAAAAAAAAAAAGTTGGCCACGCCCACTCAGTCATTACCCCACCACCACCAAGCCACGCCCACAGAACCAGTAGTAACAAATTTTACATTTCACCACTGCTTCAAAGGCACTGTTTTAAGTAACCGCAGCATACACCTTTCTGCTGTGTGGCTGAGAATCCTTTAGAATGCAAGAAAAACATCATTCCAAACTAAAGAAAGTAAAACCAGACTGCTCACTGGAAGCATTGCAGATAGTTCTCATTTAGCAACTGTCTCGTTTAGCAACCATTTGCAATTACTATGATGATGAAATAATGATCTCTGAAAATTGAGCTCTTATCCTCAGCAAATTTAATTGTAAAAAATACTTTCAAAACTGAGCTTGATTATCTTCCGAAAGATTCTGAATTGATCAGTTAAGGTCCAATCATTAAACTTGTTACGTTGTTCAACATAGAGAAACTTTTAAGTCAGTGCTTTAAAACTGAATCAACAATATTTGCCTCTTGTTTCTAAGTGTTGCACCACTTACTGAATTTAACCATATTCCTCCCAGATTCTGCAATATTGTGTTACCAAAATAGAAGAAATCCATTTCAGGAAAAATATTTTACTGGGAAGCAACTACCGGTATTAGGAGAGATCTTATATAATTCCCTAGAGAAACATAGTCCTCTAAGAAGTTATATAATACTAAAATCACCTGTGAGTTCCCAATAGAGTCAACCCTATGTGTTATACAGTATAAGGGATGACTAATGTCCTGGATAATTACAGACAATTCTGAAGTCATGCTGGTGGAATAACAGATTTCCCCCCCACCCCCAGGTTTTGCTGGAATAACTCTCTGCAAACCTTCTTTTAGATCTCATACCAAGAAACAAAATAAGTAATCCATTTCCCTAAAATAGAAGAAAAAGATCTCAGTTCTACATACTGTAATTATGTCACCTTCTTCCAGTACTATAGCTTTTAGTGGCTTTGTTTTGTTTGTTTTAATACAAGCCCCATGTCATCTGTAATTTGCATATCATATTGGTTGGGGCTACCTCTTATTTCACTTCTGTATTGGGCCCACCCACCCACTCCCTTTCCTAATCTAATAGACCGCTGTGGGAGATAGAAAACTTCCTTGCCAGAAGCCTCAATTATTTGCTTGAAAGGGGCTTTTAAAATTAGATAGGAATGCAGAAATTATATGTTTTTGTATGAATAAGCCTTTCTTCTGAGCAGAAGCTTCTCTCACATGATTATCTAAGGAATTCCACATTGTACCAATAAGGGTACGAGGCTAAGGTTTCAAATATAATTTGCACAAAGGGTTTTCAATAAAAAGAGAGATAGGTAAACAGTGTTTCCCAGGAGAAACATTTCCTTTCTAGGGTAGTCTTGCTGCCTCCTTTTATAAGCGGATCTGTTTTCTCTTTTCAAGATGATTGCCAAAATCTTTCTTCAAAAATGACATTTGGTGAGGCGATTTCTAGTCCACACAAACTTATGGCACAATAAATCTCTGAGCCCTGAAGGTGCTGGTTGTGCTGCAAAATATTCAACTGGCTCTTCTAGAGTTTGTCCTGGCAGCCTAAAGATGTCCCTGCAACCCAGTGAAGATCTTACTTGAATCTTGGATCTTAATTGAAATTAGTATGTTGGATTAAAAGCTGCTAAAAGAGCCGTGGTGGCACAGTGTTTAGAATGCAGCACTGCAGGCGACCTCTGCTGACTGCCGGCTGATTGCAATTTGGCAGTTCAAATCTCACCAGGCTCAAGGTTGATTCAGCCTTCCATCCTTCCGAGGTTGGGAAAATGAGGGCCCAGATTGTTGGGGGCAATATGCTGACTCCGTACACCACTTAGAGAGGGCTGTAAAGCACTGTGAAGTGGTATATAAGTCTAAGTGCTATTGCTAACAGTACACTGCTTAACTGAGCTGATCCATTCATTGCTGATGGATATTACAATATCCTCCCAGACTCTGGTACCCTTTTCCTGTTATTTGCTGTCCCTCCCGTTCCTCTATTTCCATAATACCTACTTTCCCATAGAAGGTAGGATAAATAACCTGGGAGATTAGCCAGCACTAGAGTACCATCATCTAGTCCATTATTTCCATGAACCTATGTGCCAAGCCATAGTGTCTGTACAATTGTCTATACATTGAATGGAAAAATGCATAGCTTTGATGATAATGAGCTTATGGAATTGAAGGTGTTGGGGGCACACTTGCAAGCGAAATTTACCATGAAGGGAATGTGTTGTTGAATGTTTTTATCCTGACATCCCAAGCATTGCTTGTAAGTGCATCCCACTTCAATATGTTTTTGCTGTGTGTGTGTGTGTGTGTGTGTGTATATATATATATATATATATATATATGTGATACATTTTTTTCTTAATTGTTTGGGGGTCAATTTTGCCTTTTGTACATGCATGTGTGTGTTGATGTAAGGATTTATCTGCATGTAATGTGTTTCTCCAAACATCATCTGCTGTGAACTGAAAATTTAGTTTTGAGCTTAATTTTTTAACACACACACACACACACACAAAACTTTACTACACCTATTTTCCTAATTATGTTTTCTAAGAAGCAACATTTTTGCCTCACAGAATGCCCTCTGGGAGAAACTACTATATCTTGTGATCAGCTATGCTTTCCACAACAGCTAGTTGTGAATTGGCATTCCAACCCATACGTTTCATTTTTTTTGGTGAAAATATCTGTGACAGGTTTGGGAATTACAACTTTGCCTGTATGTCCCAAAAAGTTAAGGTCATGCTTCTACAATCCAAGTCCTGCTATAGGTCTTCAGTGACAGAAACTGGTGCAGTTTGCTCAGTCTACAGAGAAATACAATAACAAAGAAATGCAACAATTGTGTAGGAACTCCAGGCCAGGAATACAGTAAATGATTTCTGGAGGGATGATTAGGGTTGGTTTGTAGTTAAGACAGAAACCTCTTGTGATGCTTTTTAATCTTAACAGGTGTATATCATGTAAGATTTCATGGATCAAAATCAGCTTCAGAAAATGTGTAAAATACCAATCTGACAGAACAGTATTTTAAATAATGTGTGCAGGAGAGAGAAAAGGGGAAATTATGAAAAGAGGCAAGATACAGAATTACATAAAGTGTCACTCCTGTCACAAACAGCTAATTATCGTAAGCTATGTTTCTAGAAGATTAGATTGGCTAGGTGAAAGATAGTGTTCTCTCCTTTGTTGAATTCTACATTGACTATTTTATTTTGTGCTGAAATCAATTTCTGTAACTTCCGTTTACAAGGACTGCTGCCTTGAAACCTCATACAGCATGACCCGGGGAATTAAAATGCTCCTCTGTTAGATTTAGGATGTTGCTATTTCCAAAGCAACAGCATCTGAATGATCTTGCAGCTTTTTGCAGAATGGCGAAAGCAGTGCTGTGCTACAGTTCTGTGGGGCACCTATACAACACCCATAGACAAGAGGAGGTGTTTTCAAGATGACACTCCTTTCTCTCTACTTTTCCCCCCTTACTCCCAAATTCACAATCATATGCATTTTTTCTTCAAAAGCCCAACTGAACTGTTTTTTCCTTGAGGGAGAAAAAGAAAATGTTTCGCTTCTCATCCAAGAAGTTTCATCAGTTCTGATGTTCAATTCTAACAATTCTAACATAGTCATCTCTATAGACTACAGAAAGGACCATTGGTTTGAAGGAGGGATAAAATAATCCATCTATGTTAGAACTGATCAGCCCTTTCTCAACAGAGGAGAAGGAATATTGCACTTTGATTCAGGTGACCCTGAGGACACAGGTAAACCTTCAAGGGGCCTCAAATGGTCTCAGAGAACGTGCTAACAACCAAATGACTGCAAAGAAATACAATCCTTCCACCCAACCACCCCACCATTCTATCAGAACCCATCCTTCCATGCCCTCACAATCCAGTCTATTGTCGGTACCTATTCTTCCATTCCGCCCGGCCCCCACCATCATAACTGGTGAAGTTTCTTGGATGAGAAATAAAATGTTTTGTTCTTCTTCCGCAAGGAAAAATCAGTCCACTTGCCTTTTGAAGACAAAAAAGCACCTTTGAAATAACTATGATGACTGGATGACTGAGAATCTCCACAGACAATCACTGGTGGTTTCTTATTTTGGCAGTTCCCCATCCTAGTGCAATTTGGGATGACATCTTTCACAATATTTTGTACATCTCTCAATTCTAAATCCTGCGAGCTCCTTGGACTGCAATGTGATCAAACCAGTCAATCCTAAAGGAGATCAACCCTGACTGTTCTTTAGAAGGCCAGATCCTGAAGATAAAACTCAAATACTTTGGCCACCTAATGAGAAGGAAAAACTCACTGGAGAAGAGCCTAATGCTGGGAAAGATTGCGGGCAAAAGAAGAAGGGGACGACAGAGAATGAGGTGGCTGGATGGAGTCACTGAAGCAGTAGGCGTGAGCTTAAATGGACTCCAGAGGATGGTAGAGGACAGAAAGGCCTGGAGGAATGTTGTCCATGGGGTTGCGATGGGTCAGACACGACTTCGCAACTAATAACAACAACAACAGTTCTAATCAAGGATACAGTAGACTTCATTATCGGCTTGCTTTCCATTTGTGCAAAATGCTGGATTTAACTGATTTAATTATTCCATATGTTTATTTGTTTGCATTGCATCCATTTATGAAATGAGATACATGACTTTCCCAGCCATGTGGACTTCTATTGCAACTATTTGCTAATGGGACATTATTGTTCTTTCTTAAATCCCTGTAGTGAATTAAATCCAGAAAATTGGCCTGTGGATATTACTCTGATGCCTTCTTTAATAGAACTAAAAAGTGATAAAGCTTGTAAAGCTTTCGGCCTTCCGCCAGAGGTCAGTATTGTGCCTTCTTCCTGTCGAGGACTGCAATATCAGCCAGGGGAAGGCTTACACATGAGGCTGCTTGTTCAAGCAGATTTCAGTACAAGTAAGTGTGAATTTTCCTTTTTTCCTTTATTTCTTTTCTGCTGATGATCTCCGCTTGAAAGTTCAAAATTAGGATAGGTTAAGAGTATTCAAGGAAAGTTGCATTTACCAATAAAACATTGGACTAGGAAAAAAAAAATAACGTTTAGTAGTGACATTATAGATAAAGTAATCACAATTGGGGCTACTTCTTCTTTTTCCTCATTATTTCCAAAGTTTCATTGGTCTGATTTTATTGGATTTATTGCTTGTTCCGTAACTCATGAAAATAAATATTAATTGTCATGCTTCCTAGGAAAACATAATGACGTATTCTAATATGCAAAATATTAACAGACTATTAAAACAGCTTTCTTGGCTGAGATTTTGAGATTTAAGAAATTATTCTGTTCGCGTGTATCAGAATATGATATTTTTATTCCACTGCTATTGCTACATGTTCTGCGTTTTATTTTTCTCTTGAGAAATCTTAGCTCCACCTACACTTACTAAGAGCTAAACGTCTTGATTCTATGCAGGTTATTTATCAGTAGATGTATATAATCACCTCATAAAGAGCTGTGGTGGTGCAGTGGTTAAAATGCAGTATTTCAGGCTAATTCTGCTGACTGCCAACTGGCAGCAGTTCAGCAGTTCGATTCTCACCGGCTCAAGGTTGACTCAGCCTTCCATCTTTCCGAGGTTGGTAAAATGAGGACCCAGATTGTTGGGGGGTGGGGGTGGGGTGGGGGAAATATGCTGACTTTGTAAACTGCTTAGAGAGATCTGTAATGCACTGTGAAGCAGTATATAGGTCTAAGTGCTCTTGCTATTGCTAGAATTCATAGGAAATGTCACCTGCAAAGAGGAGACTTTCCAGTGTCATGTTATTCACCGATAGGATGTAGCATTGCATGACTGGATTCGTGTTTATTTTAGCAGATTTTTGAAATAGATTATTTCTTTAAAAGACTTTATAGCAACTTTTGGGAGGACCAATTATTTAATCATGTATTAGTAGAATATATTTTCATAATGTTCATTTTAATGAAGCCTTTAATTTTCCAACTAATAATGTTAATAATGATTTTACTCTTCAAAAACATCCAATTCCAACTTTATTAAGGCATAATTACAAAGACCAGCCACATGTAATAAAGAAACTGTAAATTGAACTAGGAGTTGATGTTCAAAGTCATGAAGTGAAGCTGGTGAGGAACAGCCATTTCCCAGGTCAGGCAGAACTTATTTATTTATTTATTAGAATTTGTCAAACAAAAACGAGAACAAGAATAAAACAATAAAAATACAATGACAGGGATGATAGGCACGTTAGTGCACTTGTGCACGCCCCCTCTACTAATGTCAACATTAAGGTTCCCAATCTCAAGGTTGTGAAGAAAATGGCTGTTGTGACCTAGGCTCACTTAGTCATTACAAGACACAATTAGTCCCAAACAAAACTGTTTTATTATAACAGTTGAGAATTACTTCATTCCCAGCTTAGTCCAAATTAATTCCAAAGCAAGTCCTTCAGAAAAAGTCCTTCGGGCTTATCACAAACCTTTATCTTCTTTGGCACCCTGCCAAGGCCTTTCTTGGCAAAGTCCCATGAAGTTCAGAAACAAGAGATGCCGACTGGAAACAAATTTAGCAACGTTTGCTTTCCTACAAAGAGCCCAAAAGCCTTTGCTGCTCTTTTAAGGTTTATGGGAGGGGTCAATAATCTCCTGGCCTTACTCTCGAGTCGTCCCTTTTGCTTTAGCTTCTCTTGCCTTCTGGCAACTCTGCGCATGCGTGCACTAGGAACAGGCTCCTCCTGTTCCTCTGCCTTTCTGTTGTCTGACTCTGGAGGCTCTGGAGTCTGCACATCACTCCCAGATGGCCCTGGCCCGATCTCTGCATTCAACGCAGAGCCCTCGTCCGGGCCTTCCCCAGACTCCAGAATTGACCCATGGTCCTCCCCAGCCTTCTCACTGTCCGACTCCGCTGCCAGCTCTGCAGGCTGCTGGTGGACCACAACACTGGCCAAATCTCCACTGATTTCAGAAGGCCTTATATTGAAACCTACTGGTCTTTACTGCAGGAGATAGATGGCTTCTTTTTTTTGTCTACACTAGAGCAATTAATGTACTTCTGTTGTGTCCATGAACTTCTGTTATAAAAAAAATCCTGAGAGTTGTGAGAGTCAAGAATCATTGCCACATTGGGCATGAAACCTGATATTCGCCCTTTTGAGAATTACAAAGATCCCAGACTAGCAGTCATCATGTCACCGAAGGCTTTGCTCCTCTAAAGCAATCTTTCCCAACATGTGGCTTTCTAAACATGTGGACTTCATCTGCAGCATTCTCTAATTAGCACAGTTATTTTTAAGATGAGAAGCTCAGCAACCCAGTCATCACTAAGGCTGGGGAAATTGCTCCAGAAAGTCTTTGGTTCAAATCTTATTTCAGCTATGATCTTGTTATGTGATCTTCAAGCTGTTGGGTTAAAATCCATTGTGTGGAATATGGTGTGATAATAAAAGACTCCCTTTCAGGAATGTTTCACTCATTACTGGTGAATAAAATAGATAGTATAAAAATATTGTTGTTGTGAATCCAGTGCTACACTAAATTCTTGGTGTGACTGTAGTTTTACTGTTGTTAGTTAAGTTCTTCAATGTCTTTCAGAATTGACACCAGCTGTTGGTCACGGCCTAAAATCCAAAAAGAGTTGTACTTTTTTCTGTCAATGTTGCGGAGAGAGTGTAATTAATAACAGGTAAGTACTGTACTCTGTGAGATTTTTCCTATTGATGAATGCATTTGCAAATCATTCATACTAGAAGAAATGTAACAGGTGGTGAAATTCGTACTCAGATAATCTGAAAGTAAAGCCCAGGTGAGAAAAATAAGGAATTTGGTGTCCTTTCGAATGGTTAAAAATCTCTGTGGCCCATATACAGTAGTTCTTGTACACTATGAATAGCATTTTTGTTATCCCTGTTCTTTTTACTTTTATTAACACCATCAATATTTTTCGATGTCTTGCAATGTTCTGTCTTGAGGCCTTTTCAATTGAAAAGCAGGAGATGAAGGTTTCCAGCAACAGCAAAAACATGGGTCATTTTAAACTGGATTAAGTTTTAAAATCAGTGGCTGAGAAAATGGTAGTCATGTTCAAAATGTAAATGTTGTTCATAATTAATTAATTTATTTTTTTATTATACCAAACATGCAAAGATATTCCGTTAGCATGCTTGTCTGGTTCATTGTATGCTTCTATAGGAGATTTTGCTTTTAATCCCCAAAAAGGACTTTTTCTCTCTCCATTTAGTCTTTGTGTCAGGCCAGGAACACTTCCCCCTGCCCCCTGCGCCCCCCCCCCCACTAACTGAAACTGCAGAGACTTTGTTACATTACACTAGACTAGTTAATCAGAAGCTGCCTGTTTTTCTACTTCAGAGGTCACAAAACCATGATTGTTGAGGACTGGAGATCATCTGACTATTGAGCCATGTTTATGCTTTTCACAGATTGTTTTTCTGCATGAGATATATAGGCATAATACTTTTCATGGTACTGCCCTTGCCATTCACCAGATTGGAACTGGGTAGCATGCCCTTTAAATTAATTTTGCTCAGCTCACTCTTTTGGCCTCGACCCTTCTTCATTAATCCCAAATATCATTGCACATTTGCTTTATAGGAACACTGAAAAATAAATTGCAAGGGTTATTTATCTTTTTTTGCATTACATTTAGTGTGACAGGTTTTGAGTCTGGGGTGGAGAGAAACCTAGCATTGTTTGCTATCAACGTGTATTGCTTTAACACAATCCTAAACAAAACAATTATGAGTGATAAACAGTGCAGAAAACACTAAATCTACCATTATAAACTTTGCTTAATGTCTGAATAATACAGGAAAATGGATTGAGTCAATGGGATTATTAGTGAAGTCCAGTTTTTCCTCCTTGCCTCAACTAGCCATAGTCACATCTGTATTCATTCAATACAGTGAATGAATTCATGAATATTTTAGCTGGCATCTTCAAAAGAAAAAAAATGCAAGGCTACCTAGCACTTGCTACTTTAAGAATCTATTTTAAATTTCTACAAACCAGGAGACTTTGAACTATGTCTGCTCCAGCCCGTCTAATGTTTAAGGGTAGATTGTTTTTTGGGAAGTACATTTAGTTGGAAGCTGCTTCCTGTTCTGTCACTGAATCAAACCATTCAATTCCATTAATAGCCCTAGACCAATTTTTCCCATGTGGTGCATTATGCTGAGATACACAAATATAGGTTCTCCCCTGCAAAGTTATAATTTGCTCCTTGTTCTCCATTTTTATGTACAGTTCTCAGCATCAGAAACATCAGAAAATCTGGTCCCTTTTCTTTATTCATACAATTGTTCTGCAGTCTGTACAGCCTGGATTTTTGTTGTCTCTGTTATTGTAATCAACTCATTCTCTTCTTGGTTAGGACATTTCTCCGGGTTCTTTCCCTTCCTTTTGAGAACTGGAGTGATTTGGTTGATGAATGGTGTTGCCATCCTAACCCTTTCAATGATAGCCTGCTTCATCCCCAAATTGATGACTGTTTTCTTGGGCACAATTACCTCCTGATTAATTCAAGAACTGAGTTATCGGGAACAGAATCTGGAAGGCTTCATTCAGAGGATGAGTGGACTACAAGTAGTGAGTCTCTCTTGGTAAATATATACAAAAAATAAGACAAAAGACTGCATTCCTTTGAGCTGCACAATTCGTTCTCTGCTATTTTCATTAAGCCAGGTACTAGAAACTGTGAATTCACCACATTATGGGCATTATGGGACTTGTAGTCTGACAGCATTTGAAATCCCAATTCCTGGATTTGAACTCTTGTATAATTGTTTAGGGGGTGGTGCCAAAGATTTTGGAGATCGTAATAGCCAGGAGATTTGTTGGTATAGTTTTTGGAGTTCACCAATAGTGCTTAAGCTAGGAAAGGCTCATTTGGCTGAAAAACATAACAGGCTGAGACATAAACTATGTTTTGCAAACCATAGTACTTGAGTTTGCTTATTGTGGTAAGTCAAACCCTAACAAATCATTTCGTAATGTGGTGCAGTATGCAGACCCAGCCAGTAGAAGGTTAAATGACATGTGCTTTTGTTACTACATGATGTTCTTTGGTAAAAATAAAATAAAAATAAAAACTATAAACTCTCACAACATGAAAAGTATGGCTTCTACAAAGAGCTTTGCAAACTGCAGGCAAATTAACCAGAACATTATAAAAGCAAAGATATCTTTCTGAGATCTATGAATTATTTTTCACCCCTGTGGTTCTGGAAAAATCCAATGATGATCTCTTCTGGGGAGCATTTAGCAGAATTTATTAGCCATTCTTGGCATCTCTTGTGCCAAGGATGGAAATTACATCTCTCCAATACTAAAAGATTTTGAAAGCAGGATCAGCAGTCAGTTACTATGTGGGACCGAGGTGTGTCTGATTAAGGACTTTGGAAACCTGGTTATTCAGTCCAAATTTCTCATAGCCATTTGTACAACCCATCACTGCATATAAAATAGCTCTTCACATTTGGAGTTTGAGTGATCTGAATGCAGTTCTTCCACTTTACCTAGCTGGCTTAAGTAGCTTTTATCTCTGGAGCTTTTGATGCTTTTGAAGATCAGTCACTTTTTCACACAGCACAGCTTTCTGTCCTCCTGGAAATCTTCCCGTGAAATTGAGCTGCATCTTTGCAGACTTAGAATACCTTAAATGCCTTGGGTTAGACAAATAAAATGTTCCTTGAGGCATGTGCAAATAATGCTGAACTTCTAAAGACTGGAGTATGATTTCTGATCATTATTTGCTTGGAAGAGTCAGGAGTTACTTGTTTAACATTATTTAAATAGGATGCAGAAGAATGTATCACTGTAGGTTCAACCTCTTATTGATGGGAAAATGTAATGTTCCTATTGCCAATCAAGTCTGTTGGAGCAGGTGAGAAAGTCAGTGGCTCATATATAATTGCATTGCTAGATTTATAGGGAGCCTTATTCATTTTTAACAAGCTCTTACTGGTTTAAATGTCAACTAGAACAAAGAAAGTGCATGTTATTTATTTACTATTAATGTAAAAGAAAATTGTGCCACCAAAACTACACAATCATTGCATTTGTTTGTCATCTCTTATTCAAAGAAAATTAGATATTTCATTATATAATTAATTTAATATGAATGAAGGTGAATATGTCCCAGGATAATGTTGAAGGACCCAATCTGGGTTGGTCACTGGGACCAGAGGTTTAGTCTTCCGAGCTTTCAGACTCGTGCTGGAGCCCATCCTCAGAGAACTTCTCTCTAGCTTCTCTCTAGCACACACTGTACTAGAGAGAAGTTCCCTAAGGATGGGTTCCAGCACAAGTCCAAAAGCTTGGAAGACCGAACCCCTGGTCCTGGTGACCGACCCAGATTAGTTCCTATTTATATATGATTTAAATTTTCTTTCAGTCAGTGCTACATTGGTACTATAATCTTTTTTTCTTTCTCTGGTTGTAAACAATAACTGAAAGTTCCCAGTTATCTGGGGGGAAAAAACGCAAGAACAATAAAAATCAATAACATTCAATAAAATCACGAGCAGGATCCAAACCCTTGTATTTATAACCGAGAGAGCTAAAGGCTTGTAATATAATCTCCTTCCCTTGCTTCTTCCCCATACACAAACAAATTATTATGTGTGCTTTTCCTTTGAAGGCTATTGTTTCTCATCAATCTTGGAGAATGCTGAAGTGTATTTTCATCACTTGGCAATTGTAACATCAGGCAATAACTTGATCTGTGAAACAGTCGTCACAAAGAGAAAGGACTCTTGGCCAGCCCTCCATATCACTTGAAACAGGACTCCTTAATGGAGCATTTCACCCACTTTGTTAAGTCTCAGCAGGTGATAAGTCATTGAATAATGAACCCTGAAGCAGCACTCTTGCTTGTGTGCCAACCTGTGTGCCACTGACACCATCCTATTTCCTGTGCTTCAGACAACTCTTCTCCAAATCATCACACAACATAATTTTAGATGCTCCAAGGTCGCAAACTGTTCTAACCGCTTATCTCTAGAGGAAAATGTTTCCTTCCAGACAATATCAAGGACATTTTCAGATAGAAGTGGGGAAAAAAATAATGTGCAGTTAGCCAACAGCTGAAAGTTGTCACACAAGATACATTGATTTAATTTGTGTGGCAAAAACATACTGTTATTTCTGTTCAGGTCAGCAAAACCATGGAGTTCTTGGTGCGTGACCTTTTTTTATCATCAATACATGCAGTTCTAATCAGAAGAAAATATATTGGACCACAGAGTGGAAACATCAGAACTGAGTGTGAAGTGCATACTCTGCACTCTGAATGTTGATTTTGTAGGAAAATGTTTTAGACCTAAACTTTAGAGTGTACTCTAAATGAATATAAGCTACTTACATTCATTGTGAATTAATTAATGGACAATTAGAATCAAACAAAAGCAACTAAGCCAAAAACAATTAGCCACAGTGGCTTTGTTAAAAACAAAAAGAAAAACCTTCCATGTTCAGCAGCTTCTGCATATTGTGCAATAAGATAAAAAGAACAGGAGAAGCCCCAGAAGGGGAGTTTGCATTGCCCATAAAGCTAAGAATTAGGTATGGCAGTAGAGGGAAGGAACTTGGTGCCTCAAACAATACAACCAATAGCAAAGAATTGAATTGACCTGGTCCTTCAGAGTTGGAGAAATTTTTGTCAGCTCTGCTTGGAGATAATCACAGATTACATTTCTAGTTCCTGGATCAGAAGGCCCTCCAAATAGTCACTGATATTCTAGTGGCTTCACAGTTGGACTCAGGGGTCCAGTTCCCACCCTGGGGACTAGTTTGCTGAGTGCTCATGCCAGATGCGTGTTGCACGCGCATGCACAGGTTCCATAAAATTGAACTTCCATGTTGCAAACAAGGAAAGGAGCAACGAAAACAGCTGAGGAGGGCCAATTCAATCTGCCGCCCCTGATCAGCCAGTCCAAACCAGTAGAATCCCACCACTGGTTGGACTGTTGTAGAGGCTTGACAATGCTCCAGATGTCTTTAAAAACCTGCTGTTCTCCTGGGCCTTAGGGAAGGATATTAGCTGAGGCTGTTGGTGATGTTTCTTATTAGAGGGAGTGTGGTTGTCTGGTGTTTGTGATTTTCTTTTTATTATTTTCCTTTAATTCTCTTATTTTTAGCATCATTTATATTTTGTGTGACTAAGAGTCATTTTGGAACTGGGCAGTCTCTAAATCTCATAAAGACATACATTAAATCAATAAATAAATACTCATAAAACAATACGCATGGATACAGTTGAAAACAAAGCAGACTTAGTTCCAATCCAGATGGTTTCTTTTATAATTTTAAATTACCTAGCATAGTTTTCAGCCAAAGTATAATCAAGATTAGTCCCCTTGCTTACTGTATATAGATTCCCCTTGTTATTTGCAGCAATTCTCTTCCTGCTGAGCAACCTGAGATAATGAAATCACAGATAATGAGACTGAAAAAAACATCCACATTATAAATATCTGTAGTATTCCAAAAAATGTGGCAGAAACCAGATATGCAAAGCTGTACGTATTACAGACATTAAATTCTAGCACATATTTTAAATTGTGGATATATCACAAGAAACCAGAAAATGAGGCCATAGATAATGAGTGCCAGATATATGGACTGGATAATTCCTCTTTATGCCATAAAATTAGGGTTCAATTTAACACAGGATTTTAGGTTTGCTGCTGGGAATTTATGTTCAATTTATGTTGCTCAGATTCAGAATGATGTAGATTTTTGGCTTTGGACTGCTTGTAAAATTTGGAAAAAGGCATATTTTCAAGTCCATGTTTGGTCCTTCTGAGGAATTTTAGCTGCATGACCTTTTTTTAGTCTAGACAATGAAAATAGCTGTCTTCTAAGTGTGTTGGATTACAGTCAAGATGGTGGGGATTATGGAAATTCTGATCTAACAGGTCTGAAGGGCACCAATCTAGATTTACCTCTCTGACGGTCACTGTCCTGACATTCACTGGGTAACTTTGGACTAAACTGTCCATTTGTTTCTTTAGCACATACTGTAGAAGTAGTGCATCTTTCAGTCACTTTTCATCCGAGAGCTCATCTGAGAGTTTACCAAAACAAAGGACAGGATAAAAAAAAAGTGGGATTTAAATGTTGTATAGTGGGACCTTAAGTGATAATGAGTTTGCAGAAAGCCAGTGATGGGGAACTTTGCTCTGCTGCTTTTTTCGTGGTATAAAAATAACAGGATGCTTTAAGTTGGGAGATGTCCTTGCATTTATGCCTTGTATCCAAGTCCAGAGTTCTGTTTTCAAGTTGTTGAGTATATCTAATAATATGTCGGCAGTTCTTCTCTTTGACTTTCTTTTTCTCCACCTATCAATTAAAGGTGTTATGAACAAAGTCATAATAGGTAAATGTGTTATGAACGAAGTCATTCGTCCAACTGGCTCAGTCAATTTAGACTGGTAGCAATAATCCATGCCCTCTCTTAAAAGGGTTGTCACATTTACCTGGCCATTTGGAAATGTCCTGGGTTTTTCTGCAAAGGAAGTTACGTGACCTGCCATTGCACTTTCCTCCTCCTTTTCTCACCCAGAATGTTGCAAAATGGAAATAATTATTTCAATCAACATGACTTACAGGTCTGCTCATGAATTACTAGAGCATGTTACATTCTTAAATGTGGGTTTCATGATTATATCTCTTCCCAAATAGCTTTTGGTAATTTGATGCTGAAATTGCTAGTGCTTTTCTATTGTGCACGAATCTAGAATTCATGGTGAAGTCTTCAGTCTTCTTGGTGACTGAATATACACACCTGTGCCTCAATTTTAATAAAATGTTCTCTGCGAATAAATCATCCGCTTCGCATTTTAATGACTGCGCACTAGTGGGCTCTTTATTGTAGACAGTAATGGCGGGGACCAGGTTCAGTCATTTTTAAGGGCTGATTGGTCATTGTTACGGAATTATAATAGTCTTCCTTAATATGTTCATGCTGGGAGTTTGAAAGAAACATGGGCTCATTTGTCTGGAATATAACAGGAGGAAATTGGCCAGTAGATTGAATTATTTGTAGACATTTTAAGCAGATTTTCTCCTCATGTATCTACCAAATAAGAAGACATTTAAATCTTTTTCTTTGCTTTGCAGAATTCACAGGCAAATAGTAAAATAATTTGCAAGCGCTGCAAGACGTTGTTGGGAGAAGCTTTGCCCTCAGGTACTGAATTCTCAGACAAAATCTTTGAAAGCTGTTTTAGTCACCTACTGCTAGAGAGGTTTTAAAATGACCTGTTAAAATGAAATGTTAAAGCCCATTTTAGATAGGTTTGAAAGCGCCGAGGTCTTTCTTTCCTTTATTCTAAATATATTTTCATTAAGCAGCCATAAAATTTGTCTGGATTTAGGAACAAAAAAAATTAATTAGGGAGAATACTGTAAATGTACCTGCAAAGTCAGGTATACCCCTACTTCCCAGAGAGTAAAGTTGCCCATCTCAAAGAATTATATGAAGAGTTGCTATTTCCTGTAAGACTGTCTTGCCACCACAAGCTTCTTTCTACGATAAAATATTGTTGCCATTTTCCTATTAGTTCTGAGCCGAGTAACACCATTTCCCCTACTTTCCTAATTAAGCCAATTCTCTTTTTGAGGAAGGGGCACCTTATTTGCTTTGTTTTTCTTTTTTCTTATTTTAACAAAAAAAAAAAAAATTGCTAGGCTACCGCAGATGGGGAACTTTGACTGGTCTTGAAAAGCTAACTGGATATTAGCCCTCAGAGGGGCGGCTACCAAGAAGCCCCAGGACATACATTCATACATACAGTAACAGAGTTGGAAGGGACCTTGGAGGTCATCTAGTCCAACCCCCTTCTCACGCAGGAGACCTATACATATATATATACACACACATACATACATATATATTTTTATATCTTGCTTTTAATATTTTTACAAATGACTCGAGACGGCAAATGAACCCAGCACACTTTCCTCCTCATGTTTTCTCCACAGCAACAACCCTGTGTGCTGGACTGAGCTGAGACCCAGCAGGTTCTGACAGGTTCTGGAGAACCGGTAGTGGAAATTTTGAGTAGTTCGGAGAACCGGCAAATGCTACCTCTGGCTGGCCCCAGAGTGGGATGGGAATGGAGATTTTGCAATATCCTTCCCCCAGGAGTGGGGAGGGAATGGGGATTTTGCAGTATCCTTCCCCTGGAGTGGGGTGGGAATGGGGATTTTGCAGTATCCTTCCCCTGTGGTGGGGTGGGAATGGGAATTTTGCAGTATCCTTCCCCTGCCATGCCCACCAAGCCACGCCCACCAGGCCACACCACACCCACCAAGCCACGCACACATAACCGGTAGTAAAAAAAATTGAATTCCCCCACTGGCTGAGAGTGACTGGTCCAAGGTCACCAAGCTGGCTTTCATGGCTAAGGCAGAACTTGAACTCATGGTTTTTTTAAACCTGGTGCCTTAACAACTAGACCAAACTGGTTCTCTCTATTAATAGATTGGGGAAGAAAAATACTTCTCAGAAGAAGGAAACAGCAAACCCCTTCTGTATATTTTCCAAGCAATTTACACACAACCAACTGACCACACTGGCACACAAGACATTTATAAACTAAGAAGAGAATAGGACAAGAAAATTCTGCTGATGATGTTACCTAATCTGGTAATGAAACGTTCAGAAATTAAATTAAACAAGCTTGCAGAGCAAATCCACTGCAAAAAAAAAAAAAGGATTTGGGTGTCTATGATGTCACCAGCTATTGAACTTGAGTCAAAGGAGAATTCACTTTTTTTGGAATGAGCAAAAGGATATTTTTGTGTTTTAACATGTAGCAGAAGGGAACAAGAAAAACAAAGGCAGTTGCTGGGGGCTGGTAATGGAAAGAGGTTGAGTGAATAAAAGGGATATTTCAAGACAACTTCAAGATCCTTTCTGCATGATTTCAGTTTACAAAGCAAAATTTGGTTACTCTTCATACAGTTTTTTTGAAGTAGAAAATATTGGAAGGGTTATTTTCTCAGTGTGAGCAATTTTATAGGTACTTTGGAGTTCTTGAGAAAGATAGTGCTGAGGAAGGGGAAAAGAAAGACATTGAATAGTATTAGGGAGACATTAGAAATCACACACACCACATAAACTTCAACTCACCAGTTGTCTCTGTAGAAAAAGTAAAAAGCACTTGATACATGAGGAATGGATGAGCAAAGACTCTCTCCAAAAAGTGTTTCTGCTTTTACCCCAACCTTAGTGACTTTTAAAAGTATGGCCTTCAACTCCCAGAGATTTCTGCAAATGCCATCTGTCTTTGGAATTGGGGGGAGGGGGGGCTGAAATACACATGTCTCCAGGTGGTCCGGCTTGAGGAAAAGCTACCCTACCACATTGCTTGCTTGGACTGTTAAAACCAAATTTTAAAATCTTTTGGGAACAGTTTCAATTTTGTATGCATTAATAATGCATTTGAATAATACAAACATCCCTGCAATGTGAAAGCATAACAGAATGTAAATATTTACGAAATTGCTACATATTTTTTCCAATTCATCCTCTTTTCGGGTCTTTAATGAATGACTGACATGCAGAAGTTTAACAAGTTTAAGGTTTTATCTATTGCACAGCTCCATGTCAGAAGGAGGACAGGATCAGGCCTAGGCGAAAAGAAATCCCTCCATCTGTGCTTATGGATAATTTTTAAGAACGCTCCAAATTGTAATTCTTCAGAAGAGCCAGACTCAAAAAGTCATGTTGCCTAGCATCCAACAGTAGTCAACTTGGTGTCTTTGGAAAATTGAAAAGGATCATGCGATTTATAACCTTCTCCCGCTGTTGGTCATAGAAGATGTGTTTAATGGTGTGCCGTGCTCTGAATTAATATACTCATCATTTTGACTAATTGCCTTTTTGAAAATGAAAAACCTCTTGATCCTGGAATGCTTGTCAGCATATTCGAAGCACCATTTCAACTTATTAAGCATTACAATGAAAAAAATTAAAAAATGATACAAACTAAAAAAAGTAAAAGAATAAATTTTAAAAATAAAAATAAAAACGGAAAAGATAAAAAAAGAAAATAAGAATATGGTAAAAATAAATAAATAAATATATTAAAAAGTGGCTTCTCCCTTCATCACAGCAAGTATAAATAATTTTAGTTAACTTATCACTTTGTCTTAAAATGCAACCCACGATCTCTTCTTCTTTTACCTCATCTCTTGCTGATAAATAAAACCTAAGAAACTTATTCAGCGAAAGTCCATTAAGGGTTATCAGAGATAACAATTTAAATTTTTTAACACTTTCCCAGTTGATTTTATTTTGTAAGGGAATTGGTGTGTTTGTGGTAGGTCTCCTTGAGAAAGAAGGGAGGATACAAGGAAGGGAAAGCAGAAAAAAACACCATTTTGTTGTTTGACATGGGCACACAAGGAATTATTTTGGATAGGATAGAAATTGTTGCAGTGTTGGCAGTAGAGGTAGGTTTAATATTTATTTGAGTCCCTTTCTCCATTTTAGTGTTCTCTCTAGGCCTAGTTCCATGCGGCTCTTCTCTTAGCTTAGTGTTTCTCAACCTTGGTAGCTTGAAGATAGGTGGACTTCAACTCCCAGAATCCCCCATCCATCTTCAAGCTTCCAAGGTTGAGAAACACTGTCTTAGCTACGTAGTTCTATGTGTTCTATCTCCTCAAACTTGTTCTTTGTTTCCTTGTTATGTTTTCATGACTTACTGACTTAAATTGTGTTGTCATTGTACATTAATTCATACGGTACAAAGATTTCATTTTCCCCCTCATAGGTGTCATAAAATACTATTTCACAGAATTGCTTATTCAGCCATCTGAAGACAGCTTTTGCATAATACCAAGGTAGTATCACGTATTTCTATATTAAAATGGTATGGCTTGTCAAATGCTATATGTAAAGCAACTTTTTGATAACTTCCCCTTTGGGGAAATTAATTCAAAACCCTGTGTATAGTTTAAGTAATGATAATTGTGTATTCACTAAATATACTTATTGTTTTCCCTGCTCTTTTTCTTTCTCTTTTAGTTGTGTAATTAGGGTATGACGTATAAACATTGAAATCAAAGATATTGGAGACCATTAGATGACTCTATATCAATTTCTTAGATTTCAAATGTCCAATTTTAAAGGCGCAATCTCTCTTCTGGGTTACAGAGTTGGCCAAAAGTATAAGTATCCCTCATTTAAATCCAGTAATGGCTTTTCACTTCTAGAGATACCAGTAATTATGCCATGCCATTTTCATTTGTTTTATTCTTTATATGAATATGTTATGTCACACATCGAATGCAAACTTTCTGCTTTATGGATTAAAAAATGGTGGATTCCATTTACTTGTTTCAACTTGTTTCATGGCAAATTGGGATTCTTTGGGAAAAAGTAAAGGATACCAATACTTTTGGCCACATCTGTAGCTCCAAATGTCTGAATCTTGTCCTTTTGTTCAAGAGGTAAATAGAAAAGATTGAATCTTGTTTTTTGTTCTCATAGTGCAGGAATCAGCAATCATTTTAAATGGCAGGCACCATGGCGTGATTCTGCATAACATAAGTTACACCCCAGTAAATAAGTGAACTTGGAACATTAATTTAAAAGAAAACAATAATTAAAAAACCGAGATTTTATGAGATTTCACGTAAGAACATAGAAATTTTGGCACTGTTTAACATTCTTATAAAATTTTGGCAATTAAAAAAATACTTTCATGTAACTTTTAAAAGGGTGGAAGGTCCTCGAGCCTGTTTCATAGCTTTGAAAATATAGGTGCTCCGTTGCTCAGTCTTCTTTCCAAACAAGGTTTGGGCAATTTTCATAGCTGGTAGCAAAGTTAGTAGAGAAATGTTCATTCTTGCTGCCTCTGTAAAACCAAATCCACCCTTTTATTAAAACCAGAAGTATTTTCTATTCTTCTGGAATAGAAGGTTCCAGAATAGAATAGAAGGTTTTTATATTGGTTATTCTGCCCTTGAAAATGCTTTTAATATCTTGACAATGCCCTTGTAAAATCATTGTTTCCAGTATGCTTACAACAGAATTAATAAGTCCCCAACCCAATCATTCACTTGCTGCTGTAGCAAGGGTTAGGGTTAATCAGTGGCACATTATGCAAACCTAATGTTGCTTTAATTAATTTCTGCCATGAATCATATAATTGCCAATTAAAAGCTGGTATCTAGCTATCACTTTCTAGCCTATGCAGCTTTCAGATTCATTAAAGTTTCTACTTTTTTAATTGTAGGGTGACATTTGACTAAAAAACGTCATTCTGAAGGGAAAAATCACAGAATGTAGACTGTTGCCATCAGTATATAAAGAGGGGATTTTCTAGCATTTGTTTTATGCCTGCATCACACTGGACATCAAAAATGTAGTGATGGCCAAGAATAAGTGTATAGTGAGAGTCACTGCAATTGAACAAAAGCACGGTGGCTCATGTGGTTAGGATGCTGAGTTTGAGGTTAGCAAGCCCGCGTTTGAGACGAGTACTGCCGTGGGGTGGGGTGAGCTCCCGTCCTTTGCTCCAGCTCCTGCTGGGGATATGAAAGGAGCCCCCAACTGGGCATCCTCTGGACAACGGTGATGTTACCAGCTAATGTTTTCAAGCTGGAAGTGCCTCGGTGCTTCTGACAGGAATGCGATGCAATTGTAGTTGCATACTTTTAAGTGTACAATAATAAAAAATAATTCTGAAAACTCGGTTGGTGTCGGACACTTGGCTTCCTCCATACTGTGGGTCCAGTATATACTCAGGACAGGCAATGTTAATAATATTGGTGCATACTCTCATTAATCTAAGGTACTCTGTCTTGGATCCATTCTGATTCAAAATAGATGTGGCAATTTATTATGATGTAGGTAAACAGAGTTTTTGGAACTATGGGAGAAGGATGGAAATACGAGGGCAGGAGAACAAATGGATTGCTATGCTTAAAGAATTCAAAACTGCTTTGGACAGTAATTTGTTAATTATACTGTCTTAAATGTAAAAAAATTCCATTTGAAGAGCCAGTTTTATTACCAAAAACTCATGTGTATTGACCATAGCTGAGTTTTATGCCTGCCTCTTTTTCTCTTGACCTGTCTTTTCCAATAGGAAAAGAAAATTCCTTGTTTTTCTTTTCTGCTGTTTCATACTTGCTACTGCCCAGTGGAGTCCCAAGAAAGATAGAAATGCTTCTAGAAAATGCTAAAATGTGACTTGGTCAAATGTAGCCTTGCGGCCTGATGCTGTCCCGTTAGGTTGGGACCCTAGGTCCTACCAGTTTTGTTTTGTTTTGATAGATCTGAAGGATAGTGGGGGATGAGACAAGAATGTACTAGAAGTCCTAGAATGGGCAGACTGCTGGCTGAATGTGGCCCTCAGAATCCTATTTACAGCCTCTGTTCTCCCAAATTGATGAGGGCAACATTTTCTTTCCTGTTTTAAGTAGGTGTAAAATTGCCACAACAATGTGCTGCAACACATCCTAGGAGATTATGAACTAAAAATGCAGCTAGTGGGACCTAAAAAGTTTGGTTTAAAAAGGTTAATTACTAGAATGGGTTACTGGGCCTAGAACGTTTCTTTGACATTCTCACTTGTTTTTCAAATAATGGTATTTCTTGGTATTTTATATATAATTGTCTTTTCGGCTCCAAAACAGGTCTTCCTTTATACAGACTGTTGTAGCCAAGTGCTTCATGGAACTCACATTCTCTAGAAGCACATTTAGGTTCAGCATCCAAGGAATGGATGGCACAGTCTATATCTTGGTAAGTCACAAACCTTAGTGTTACTTATTAGAAACTTCCCCATCTTGTTACAGACTTACCCAGCTGTTAAGACCTGCAGAAGGAACTCTTTTGAAGAAGTTCACACTAACAGTTAGGCAAGCCAGGGTATTCTTCCTTCATTGTTCTCATCCTATGCTTACTTCTTAAATTATTTTAATTCTTTAATTCTTTTAATTGTATTGATAATTTAAATCTGTACCTTTAGCTTTTATATTCTGTTTTTGTTTCAGAGTTTTGATACAGGTAGTCCTCAACTTAAAACAGTTCGCTTAGTGACCCAGCAAACCCAGTGGTGGGATTCAGCCAGTTCTCACCACTTCGGGAGAACTGGTTGTTAACTTTCTGAGCAGTTTGGCAAACTGGTTGTTGGAAGAAATCATTAGGGCAGAGAACCGGTTGTTAAATTACTTGAATCCCACCACTGAGCAAACCCTTGTATTTCTAATGGGTGTCCTTTGCTGGAACGTCCAAAAGGCTGGAAACCAGGAAAACAAAATCCAAACCCATCATAAATCACAGTCATGTGACTGTGGAATGCGGCAACCAGCTGTAAAGGTGAGCCAGTTGCCAAGTGCCTAAAATGTGTCTTGTGATCAAGGGATTGTGGACAAGCATCAGAACTCCGAAACCGGGTCAGTAGTAATAGTAGTAGTAATAGTAGTAGTAGTAGTAGTAGTAGTAGTAGTGTTCTCTATGGTCTTTTATGTGAGAAGAATAGAATAGAATAGAATAGAATAGAATAGAATAGAATAGAATAGAATAGAATAGAATAGAATAGAATAGAATAGAATAGAATAGAATTCTCTATTGGCCAAGTGTGATTGGATACACAAGGAATTTTTCTGGTGCATAATAATAGTTCCACTTTCATTTATCTCTATTTGTGCTTGCTAATGAACAACCTGAATATAGTAGAATTCTATATGTGGACTAAGCCCATTAAAATGTGACTTATAAGAATGTTTCTTATCCATAGATCTGGGTACTGAATTGTGACACACTGATGGTGGAAACATCAGGAAACCCAGTTTCCAAAAATGTTTTTACATTACTTGAACCTGAGCTGTCATCTCCTGTGAGGCCTGCTGAGATTCATAAAGCTGTTAAAGTTCTTTACCATCCTTGTACTGCGAACAGAAACAAGGAGTAAGTACTGATTCTGCATATATATATTTTAAAAGATATTGTAATAGATGACCTTCATTCCCAAATGTTTTTATATAGTATAATTTCTGAAATACAGTGTCTTCTTAAGCCAGTGAAATCTATTTGACAAATCTCTTCAGGACAGTTTTAAGTTATTGTGCAGCTTGTATTATGTGTGTATGAATATAAATGTATATGCTACCGCCCCTATTCACCACAAACACCCACAGTGTAACTCAGATAGATAAATAATAACACATGGATATCAAATCTGTACAACATCAACATAATTTAATTGTGTTCTGATACTATTGGTTGGGGTCTGTTCTTTTCATAGACATTAAAATTAAAATGTCTATGATAAGAACAAACCCTAACCAATAGTACCAGAACACAAATTATAATCAATATTACTCTACACGCCACAGATAATAGCATAAATACAGTAATGAAATATTAGCCAACTCTAGCAGGACAACAATAACTCACCCAAAGCCCTTCCAGAACAATTCAATGTGTAAAACATCCTTAAAAACCATCACATTGTGACAAGTTTATCACTAAAAGGATGTAATTCCTCAGGGTTGTAGACATTACAGAAAACTGCTATGTCTTCTATTCATCCACTTTAATTTTACAAACATATATAAAAATGAAATGTTCCTTTCTGTGTTAGGTGTGTACAGTATACTGTGTGTAAAAACTATAATTTATTAACAGGCTATTTTCACTATCTTTTGGACGCTTATGCATAGTTCTTTAATGAGTTGCTTTTTAAAATAAACGTGTATGACCTAGGAAAGTTGAATGAATGCAAATGTTAGTACCGCTGGCTTTTGATTTTCTCTATAATTAATTTTCTGCTTAATTTAATGGATTTGAATTCTGAGGCTTTAACAAGAGATTACTTTTGTTCCTTATATGTTTAATGTAACGTAGTAAGGAACCAATTGACATGCAAATCTGTTTTGTACCTCTGGAAACAGCAAAGCTACAATGGAGAACATTTTAAAACAGCTGATACGATACGTTGGCTGGATTCTTAGCAATAGTTTTTTTAAATATAGCTGCCTTTATTTATTTTTTAAATGCATCCTCTATAATCCATATTTATGTAAAATCTTTATTTCCTGTTCTTGCTGCTTTAAGAGATGATTTATGGCACCTTAGAACATGCAACCAAGCAACTATAGTATATACCTTCTTCATACCTCAAACTTTTGGAATTTTGTTGATGGACTTGAAATCTGGGCATCTGAGTTCATATGAAAAACTGACACTTGCTGAAAACAGGAATTTATAACAATGAGAACAAGAATAGTGTCTCTTGAAGCTATAAAATGTTGTTAATCCTCAAAATCCTACCTAGCATGGTCACTCAGGTATTATAAGAATTGTGACTCTAAAAATATGAAGCATGCCTTGTTGCCTCTTCCTGGGCTAGTGTGATGAGCAAAAAATTGGGTATGTTTTTCTGGTAAAAGTAGAGATTATGTGGAGACAGGAGTATTTTCAAATAGTTCATAGTCTATTATGTAAAGTATTTATTAATTTATGTTTTATTAGGTTTGAAATTGGCACAGCGTTTTTACTGTAAGAATTAATTGTAGAAGACTTTGTCTTCAGAGTTAGTGAGCTCTTTTTTCTTTCAGATTATTAAACGGAGTCTGAGCATCCATCAGTTGGAGACGTTGTAACTGTAGGACTGGGACAAAATATATTTTTTTCCATAAGATTTCCATAAGAAATCTGCAATTTCAAATACTGGATATTTTGGGTATTCTTTCCTATTCATGATGGGCTTGTGAACGTATTTCTAAGATTTATGGACTAGTTTTATAAGAAAAATAGTAATTACAGATTTGTGGATAAATAAATCCAAACTTTTTCCAGGATTCCTAATTAATATGGCCCAAAAGTCATGACTCAAGATCTAAAGAGTTGTAATGTATTCTCAGTACATCTGGTATATACCAGATTAGGGGTAGTTATTTTGAACACTTATGTAAAGGGTAGGCAACCTAGTGACAATAGATACCAATGGGCTCACTTTCTATCCTGACTTTATTTTTAGATATTTTAAAATAAATATATAGGAAATTGCCTTCTGCATTATTTTTATAGAACACTTGTGTATCTTGAAGCCTTTTTAGGAAATCAAAATGGTGGCTGACTCCAGCCCAATCTTAGTTTGAAAATATGTTCATTTGCCCACCCCCACCCCCAAATAAACAGAGGTTTAGCGCAACATAGAAGAGGGAGGGCAGGTAGCCATCCTCCAGTTTGCCTTCTAGTAAGTGAGTTGTGAGAGGCCACAAACTTCATGGCATCCATTTTGTGAGAATACTCATAAGAAACTCTGTATAGTTCCAAATGTGCCTAAAACAGCTTACTGTGAATTTCATCCAGGATGTTTATAGATTCCTTACCAGAATTTGCACAGAGAAGACACTGGGACCTAGTCTGAGAAATCATGCACTATGCAATTTTTCCATATCCTGTCACAACTCACTTACCAGAAACTCATGTTTCCATCACTGTATACCACAAAATGTAATGATGAATGCTCTTCAGTGCTCATTTTTATTGACGGAGCTTATTAAGCAGGGAACATGCGAGCTTTTTGTTTTCTTGGTGTTTGTAAATCTCCTAGCAATTACGAAGCACTTCTGTAATTTGTAAAGACATTATGAAGGAGGATGTCACATAACAAGTCCTTAATACATTCAAAAGCATTTGTGGATCTCTTAAAACATTGTGTATTCCAAAAGCAGAGTTGTTCTTATTGAGCTGATATTTTTCATCTGCTTGCAGTACAGAAGGCAGCATAATTTTTTCCCCAAATCCCATTTATGTTGTCAGAAGTAGGCTTGCATCACTGATTGGAAATGCGAGACTGTATTTCTCTTTGGGTATCAATGAGATGAATATAGCTGCCGGAAAATAATTAATTAATGGGCGGTGCTTATAATCCATCCTGTCCTAAAGGGCTCTAGGCAGCATACCAATAGCAAAACAACAAAATATAAGAAAAACATAATAAAATCCACTACACTTTAATTGGATTAAATGGGAAAGCTGTGTTACTTTCGCCAACAAGGACAGGCTAAAAATAAAAATAAATATACCGGTATCTAGAAGATGAACAGTCAAAGTACACAAGATCCATTAAAATTAACGACCTGCTGTTTTATTGATCACAAACCAGCTCCAGTGGAATGAATACATTTCTGGTTTCTGGCAAAAAATATTCATTGGATATAATAGCTTTACTTAATGACTATAATGTTTGTTTAACAAGTGGCACAAAACGGTCATAAAATTGGTCGTGGTCATGTGGTGACTCACTTAATGACTGGACCGAGATATGGCCACATTTCTGGGCTCAATTGGGGTCTTACTCTCCTTAACCTTAGCTGAAATGGTCTGATTAGTGCTTCTGATTAGAAAGGCAGGATATAAATCAAATAAATAAATGATTAATCCCATTTAAGAGAATACAACTTTTCTAGTGCTTTAAATGTGGTGTTTAGGTTACCATACCTGGAGAAAGGATCCCATGGCTTGAATGTTACTACTGAAAAGCTTTCCAGTTCTCTTCCAAAAAATAGCTAGAAAATTACCTTTTAGGGATCCCAATATAGATGAGAGAAAACAGATCCTTTAATTCTAAATAATTTGGGACTCCCATCCAAAACCTTGAATCAACTTAGTAGTAAGGAAAAATGTTCTGACAGTTAGAACAATTAATCAGTGGAATGATTTGTCTCCAGAAGTTGTGGATGCTCCAACCCTGGAGGTTTTTAAGAAGAGATTGGACAGACATTTGTCTAAAATAGTATAGGGTTTCATGACTCAGCAGGGGGTTGGATTAGAAGACCTCCAAGGTCCCTTCCAACTCTATTATCCCGTTAACTGAACTGTAACATGAATTGGTAGCTAACAGAGATCTAAAGTAATATAGAACGTTAATGGTGACCACAGTACAAGAGTTGTAGCTACTGTAAGCAGTTTAACCGTAACAACTTAACAGAATTATGCAGCAGTTGTTGGTGCTTAGAGTATCTCCTTTAGAGTTAGTAGTTTCTACACAATACAGCAGGGGTCCTCAAACTTGGCAGCTTTAAGACTTGTGGACTTCAACTCCCAGAATTCTCCAGCCAGCTATGCTGGAGTTGAAGTCCACAAGTCTTAAAGCTGCCAAGTTTGAAGACCTCTGCAATACAGTTTGTATGATAGGGATAATTGAAATACTCCCCCTCTCCATCTGCAATTTCTAATAGTTCAGTCCCTAAATGAAACTGCTGACCTTTTGGGTTTCTGTAATCTGTCACTGAGCTAAACAAGAGAACTACACAATTTTGCCCCTCCCAGAATCTAAAACCATGATACTGATTTGATTGTGATTTTTATTAGGAAAGCAGCTAAGGTTCCTGATAGTTGGGGCTGCCTTTATAATTTTGTTTACTTGAAAACTGGATTATTATGTCTGAAAAATCATTTGTCATTAGCTACTGTTTGCAGTGATGTATCATAATTGGCTGCTTTATATCCATTTCAAATAGAGAAGCACATGAATTTTGACAATCTCTTCCCCAAGGCGACATTAGTCAGTGTGAGCTCAAACTGCTGGGTCAACATTTCCTTCCCCAAAGTCATACAAGAGTGTAAAAATTTTATGAGGCGACTTTAACAAGACCCACTGGGATTTGGGATTATTTGTTTTAAGTTCTTATTAAAGAGAAAAAGTTCTGTCCGTGTTTAGGTGGGTAAAGTAAAGCTAGTTCAAGACAGCACTGTTGTTGTAGGGGGAAAAATTGATAGGGAATATTTGAAATCAAAAAGAACATTGCTTTTTTAGGTATGTGAAGTGTATTTTGCCAGAATAAGTGTTTAATTGTGACAACATACCTTAAAATTCTAAAGTTATTTCTAGATTAATAAGAGCAACGTTTTTGCTTGAAAACAATCTAATAAATAAAAAGGGATGTCCACTGGGA